CCGATCACAGGTGAATTTTCCTTAGATCTAGAATATGCAGATGACATAGTCCTGTTAGGTGAAGACGCTGACAAGATGCAGAGTCTTCTGAACACTTTGAGTGGGAATTTGAGAATGCTCCAGGACTGGTCTTCAGCGGTGCCCCACCGTGGTTAACAATAGAGAGTGAAGTGGTTGAGTGTGTTGACCACTTCACTTACCTGGGAAGTAGGATCAACCCCGGTGGGTTAGTTGCCGATGAGATTTCTGCACGGATACAAAAGGCTCGATTGGCTTTTGCCAATTTGCGCCACCTATGGCGCCGCCGTGATATTCGTTTGTCTATTAAGGGTCGCGTGTACTGCACAGCAGTCCACTCTGTTCTACTGTATGGCTGTGAAACATGGCCATTGAAAGTGGAAGATATGAAAAGGCTTCAGGTGTTTGACCACCGTTGCCTTCGTAGTATAGGACGTATTCCGTGGTGTCACCACACCACGTGAGTAATGCAGAAGTCAGGTGTAGAGTTTTGGGGAGAAGAGGTAAGTCAGTCGACGAGGTTGTGAACCTTCATCGACTGAGATGGTTGGGACACGTACTACGTATGCCTAGTCACCGATTGCCTTGTCACACAATGTTGGCTGAGGTGGGTCCAGGCTGGAAAAAGGCCCGAGGTGGCCAGACTAAAACATGGCACCAATGTATGAAGTCTCTGACTGTTGGTTTAAGCCATGTGGGACGATGCAGACTAGGTGGTTGGGGTCCACGGGACAAGAGAAACCAGTGGTTGGAGATCCTAGGTGATATAGCTGAGAACCGATGTCAGTGGCGCAGATGTGTACACGCATTATCCTCATCTTAACAGCGCTATACCGAATCTCACCAATTTCTCATTCTTCGTTTCTCTCTTTTCGTACTTTGTATTTCTTTCAACTGCATTCACTTATCTTCATCCTTCACCTCACTACCTTTCTACTTGATGAACTGACGTGAGGTGTGGCAACTCTGACCGTTACACAGTAATGCCTGGTCCTATGATAATGATGATTTGTCTTTACCACCGTTTCTACAGCAGATCTAATATAAAGCCAAGTTTCCTCAGGATGAGCATTACTGTCACGTTCAGTTAAATGCATAGCTAACTCTTCTCGAAGTGCGTATTTGGGTCTTCATCTACCAATCGAACTCAGATGGGCCTCACTGCATCCTGTTTCTTGCAACCGGCAGGGCGCAAACATACACGAGACCATCCTAGCTCATTATCAGAGTTCAAACTAGTACTCCAGAAAAAGCTACAATTCACCGATCCTCTCCAACGATGGGTTATAGCCATGTGTCTGTTTGTGTCTATCATTGGTTTGAAGTCTGCGGACACCACGTGAAACTCTCTCCTTATGCCTAAATTGAATGTTGACCAGAAACAAGTGATGGTCGGGGAAAAATTGCAACAGACGAAAATAGGAATGAGGTTTCAGTGGCTTTGATCGTTGGCAACGGTTGCCGCATGAGTGGTTGGTTAAGGCGTAAGGGGCCTGATATTAATATCAGGAAGCAAAGGCAAAGGTGGAGACAGAGTTGAGGAGGATAGGTTGTGTTTGATTGGGTCTTGTGTACTGCTGGAAGCCTGCGAGCGGTTAACACTTCCTGTGTGCCCACACCGCAGAAGGCTAGGTCTTCATATGGTAGCTTAAAGAAAAAAGATTTATGTGACGGCTGAGCTCAAGGAACATCTGCTTGGGGCCTATCACACAGTCTTTTTAGGATTGTTGGTGTGCGACTTGATTGTTTTAATACCAGATAGATAAAACCCATACCGCCAGCTTTCGAAAAGCCGTGGGGCAGGGAAATGTTCTATTTTTGGGCTGACCTTTTCTAACCCCTCCTACCCTTAGGGAAAACAGCGTTGGGGTGCGACTGCTAACCATCCATAGTACACACCCCGTCCATCCAGCTGTGCGACTTCACCCTCTGACCCCTATCACGGCGTAACAATTCACACTACAATGGCAACTGATTTTTGTCTTACCACTACCCAACAGACCTTTCTGGCATGGTAGGACCTCGAGGGAACCAGAGTTCCAGCCACTGTAGTTCGTTGGGTCATTGTGATGTGTAAACCTGCTTACCACGTCAGCTATCGACCTTCTCTTGCCTAGTACCTTAGATTCAAACTTAACATTGCTCATACGGTGATTCTGTCATACGTGAGCTGTAAAACTTAGATGCCTCTGGTTGAATGCCCGTAACCCCTTCGTATCTGCTTTTCTCCTCACAGCCGTATAAGAGAACAACGAACTGCAGTGAAGTATACTCGACCTTTAATAGGTGGATGGGTATCTCGCTAACACCAGAGATAGCGTGAGTTGGCAAACGTCAGATGGGCCTTCTGTATCCGAGGTGATATTTCTTCAGCAACTAACGCATTCGAGCAAATGCAGCAACATCAAGGCCCTGCCAAAACATTTCTTGGTTAGGAGAGCCAAATGCCATCTTGGAGTCAACAAATATAACAAACGTTGGGTGCTTGTGTTCTTTTGTTCCATAACCTGACGAGTGGAGATGCACCCCTTGTTCAGGTCTTAAACCTGGTCCGTTCTCTTAAGTTTATTCTTGAACTCTTGTTAATAGTTGTATTTATTCGACGTTCTTGAACAGTGTTGGTTAGATTGATCCCCTTATGGTTATCAAAAGGACTTTTCTCCTTTATGAACTAGAATAGTCACTAAAGTAAAGCAGTCTGATGGGACTACCTCTGGGTCCCTCACAATACCTAGTACGTCCGTTACTCGGCAATTTCCTGTCCTTCCTTAAAGTCCTGTGGTGGTAAACCGTCAGATCTTACTGCTTTGAATCATCTCAAGTTTATAACAACCTTCTCAACTTCAAGGAGAGTTGAAGGACCATCCGGGTGTCAACTGAATACTGTGAAACTAAAGCGTTGTTGTGGACCAGTTAAAATTTTCTTCAGTGTCCTGTTTGACTTTTCAGCAGTAATTCACAGACACCCACGATCTCTTATTGACACGTTATTGGAGTGCAAATAAGTACACCGGAAACAACGTGAGTCCTCCACCGATCTTCTTTAAAGATGGGTTATAGGAATATTCTCTGGCTGTGTCCATCGGTCGTTTGATGCTAGTTGATGCCCTCTGAGGCTGTCTCTCCCTCCTTGTGCCGAAAGTTAATCCTGGCCAGAAACAAATTATTGTCAGAACAGAATTGCAAGACACGATCACCGTCGTCAGTTCTTTGGCATGGGATTCCGTAGAAACCTTGAAGATTCCTTTCCAGTTGGCTCAGCTTCCTTACTTGAGCGTTGAAGTCTCCGTTACTCTGACTGTTTAAACGTTTTGGTGTATGTAGTAAAACTGAGAACTTGTCGTGGAACTCAGTGTTTTTATCATCCCAACTGCAACCTATGCAACCTATGGGAGCGAAAGAGGAGACTACGAATAAGCATTGACTACCGTCATGATCTTTTCCTGTTCTTACAGATCCGTTCACTCTACGACCATTGCCAGGGATTCAAGCAAGGGTAACACTATTCCCGATCTCTTAAGACGTTGAAGCTTTCAACGTCCAAACCCTTTGCCAAACCCGACAGCAGGCATCTCTTACCAAAACTCATGTGTCGCGAGCCAGATGTAGTCTGTGTTTCAGAGACACGCATACAGGACCCGAGTGTGGTTATGAATCTGACCTCACCTGGCCAATGCGGCGGTTCTTCAAAATTCACTTTACGAGTGTTCGTAGGTTCAGTAGCTAGCTTTCTTTCTTGAACTTGTCGATGTAGGTATAGCCTCAAGTTGTAAAACAGAAAGTGCGTTTCCCGATCACTGTCTCTTCACTCTCCTACTAAATAGATCTGTGAGAACAGGAAAAGATCATGACGGTAGTCAATGCTTATTCGTAGTCTCCTCTTTCGCTCCCATAGGTTGCATAGGTTGCAGTTGGGATGATAAAAACACTGAGTTCCACGACAAGTTCTCAGTTTTACTACATACACCAAAACGTTTAAACAGTCAGAGTAACGGAGACTTCAACGCTCAAGTAAGGAAGCTGAGCCAACTGGAAAGGAATCTTCAAGGTTTCTACGGAATCCCTTGCCTTTAACTTTTCTCATCATTATTGACTATGTTACTTATGAGTAACCAGTGTTTTTCCTGTACAATTTCTTTATTTTTCTCCTAATTACTGTCTTTTGTTGCCTGGACATTTGATGTTGTCTGATTGGTCGAGGTGATGATTTGGTATTGTCATATTTAACCTGTCTTTTTCACCGTTTGCTAATTATAGCTTGTACCTTGTTTGCTTTCGAATTTAAGCTCATGAATGTATTAGATAAGTTTTAACAATCTCATTGTGTGTAAAAAATAAGGATAAGTCAGAACTTCAGCAGAAACGTTCAGGAAAATTTGATTTTGATATACTAAGCGCATTATGATTGTTTTAAAACTTAATTATCTAATGATCAAGTCAAACTTGGTGCTCAAACTCTTTCAGGGCATTCGTAATAACTGCGGACTAGATGTTTGCTATTACAATTGTTATCAAACATCGAACCATTAATTACTGTTACGAAAGGACCAGACAGTTTTATCACTTATGCGGGACCCTTAGCAGCGTGTGTGTCTGTCACTCTAAGAAAGCTAACAAAGCGAAAACGATGATCGTCTCTTATGATTTTACTCTGACAAGCATTTGTTTCTCACCAACATCAACTCCATGCACAAGGAAGGGTGCTGCCTCAGTGTCTAATGGCATCAACCAACGATGGACACAGGTAGATCATGTTGGAGAAAATCGTTAGAGGATTACTATTCTTTTTTGGGTACCTACTTAAACTCTGATCACGCGTTACTATTGATACATGTGTTTTTGCACCTTAATATCCACAGGAAACGAAAAACAGCTACATCTATGTACATGCCTCTCAAATAGACGTATATATAGTTAAGGAATTCTGTTGATTATGTTTTAACATACTTATATGCCACATCGTATATTACAACAACTTTTAGAACGTTATTTTGAAAGAAGTGAAGAAGGCTGTGGTGATGTCCCGACTGGAGTCGATATTTTAAGTAGCTGCAATGAAACAGAAAAGAATTTCTCTGGTGACTCACTCATAAAAATGAGGGCACAATGGGCAGAGGAATTAAAACAGGTAAGTTAATGTCTTCTACTATCAAAACTGCTGTATGTTCACTTTAAAAAGACACTATTGTCAAATATTGACCACCAGAAAACCACTTCGTTGTTTTTAGGGTTGAGGTCCTTAACAGTGTACGCAAATTGATTTAGCCTTGAGAGCTGATTGGTACCATTCGTCTTGGATGGCTTTTCTGTGAAGTTAACATCACGTTTCTAGACAACATCATCAACACTAACTTTAATACGGCGGTCAGTGTATGCGAGGCTTAGTATTATGAAAGACCATGCGGAGAATAAATAGTTTCTTATATGATTAGCTTGAGGATTCTGACCCCACTTCCACCATCATAATTTACAAAGTCAGACAGCATCTTTATCCTTCAAACAGTGGGTGTTATTCAATCTTTACCACAAACATGCTTACTTGTATTGTCATTATTTGTAATATTCGTTAATGTGTAGTTGAAGTCCATGAAATTGCTAACATTAGGTAAGTTTAGACTATCCACCTACACTTTACAAGATGTTGAGAATCGGGGTTTGGAGCCAATCGGTGATGTGGCTCACAATCGTTCATAGTGAACTCCAGCAATATCTTCGAAATTCTGAGCGTCTTATCGACTTACGTCTTGTTGTATCTTTCTTGTCTATTTTTATGGTCTTTCACTGTGGTTATTTTAATGCTCTGTCGCAGCAGACCTCTCTTCACGGTTTTACACTACACTGTTTGTCTAGTTAGACAGATAATGCAAACCATCAACTACGTACAGAGTTGCTTCACTGGATTACAAACGGTAATTGTTTTTAAAAGTTACATATATTCCTGATGTACAAACTTTGTTAGATGACGTAAGGGAATATGAACGCCTTTTCGCTTTATTTTGCACATTGTGGGTATCGTTTAGTTTCGTTGGCACGACATTTGTTACTTTTCCATTGTTTTAGCTTTGTTGATACACTGATTTCTCATGCAAACATCTTGAATATTTTACTGGTAGTAGAAAAAGGTCAAGTATTCATAGCGATCAATTAATTTGCTTCGGTAAATACATGTTACTGGGGCGAAAAGTCATACTGACTCATATACTTCGGGAAAATGAAGCTATCTGAACCAGCTATACCTGAAAATCCATTCAAGTGACAAACGTTTGTTGAGCAATCTTTTATACTTCAACATGTTGAAGCATCATCTAGTCTTAAATACTTCATTTCAAACTTTTCTATCCTGCTCTTTTTTTGTAAGGTTGAAGATGAGATACAAACGCTAAGACAAGTGCTTGTATCTAAATTCCGTCGTCAGCAATTCTTAAAACGGCAACTTGGAATTACACCGATTGGAGAGCTGAAGAGTGAAGTAAAACAAGGCCTTGATACTTTGCGAACCAGTGACGCGTAAGTATATAATTTCGTTCTAGTCGATTGTAAACTGTTACACATATTATCTATCAAAACAACAGAGTTTTGTCTTATCCACTAGTTTTGCATGATGTTTGACATGTATGCTGACTAATTCAATTTATTTTCTATTGAATGTTCGCTAACATGGAGGAATCATAAAGTTTTTCATCGGTTATCTTCTGGATCTGAGTGAGTCACGGTGTTACACGCCGTGATTTATATGGCCTATCTAAAGTCTACAAACTACAAATTCCTCTTCGTCTGGTTTTAGATATATCCAATTCCTCTTATCATAAAATCGCTCATTGGCTAATCGGAGTTCTACAGCCCCTACCCAACCGATAGCTGCTGCCTTGACGTGGTGGTCGGGCGTGCATATCACAATGACTCAACGAGCTATGCTGATGGAACAATTGTTCCCTTGAGGTCCTACCATACCAGAAAGGTCTGCTGAATAGTTTTTAGACGAAAAGCAGTTAACGTTGTAGTCGAAATTATTGCATCATGATAGGAGTCCGAGGGCGGAGTCGTACTGCCACTAGTTGGATGGGGTGTGACAGCAGTAAGATGTTTCTCTTAGACGACCAGCAGTGCCATGCTGATGCTGCTTTCTCAGTGGAAGGGGGGAGGGGGGGTTAGAAAAGGTCGGCCCCAAAAATAACACACTCCACCACGCCCCACGGTCTACCGGGCCGGTGGTGTTGGTTCATTTGTCGTTTCTTTTCGACCATCCGGCCCAAAAACCACCGTACACAAAAAACTGCATGTCCGACGGGCTTTGCAGCCACACAAATCTCTTTCAGGTACCTTAAGAAGAAATAACCTTCCACGGTGTGGGGATCTGGGAAGTGTCAACCGCCCTCACAACTCTGTCAGCACTCAAGTCTCTTCAGACTGTGACAACCCTTAGACAAACAAGTTGTTAAGGATAGTGTCAACGACGTATTCGACTTCATCTCCAATTCAGAAAAGTTAAATATGAACGGGAAACAATGGTAACTTTAGATAACGCTTCTTTATGCATTAATGTACTCACTTCTCGAAACAGTAGAATTCATTTATCAGCGGATATTAGAAACACAGACTTCCAGAAGATAGTCTCAAGCAGTAACTTCTGCGATGCACCATGAATGTGTATTTTCTCTTTAATGATAACAGGTAAGTTGATGGAATTGCCATGAGTTCACCACTAGACCCTCTATATTAGCTGATTTTTTTCTTGTTAAAATTCAGAATGGACCACTAAAAGGTGTCATCGGTAATCTGCATATGTACAAACGTTATGTTGACGACACTGTCAGCGTCCTTAATCAAAACGTCATCCTCTCACTTCCATTTGTGAAGAAGAACAAAAAAAATATGCTACATTTTTTAGATACCCTATTGATTAAAAGAAAAAATGGGTCACTCAGTAGAAGGGTGTACAGAAAGATCACATCTACGGGTTAGTACATTCAATATAAAAGAAGTCTAATCCAATGTCTTGCAAGCACAGCCAGTAGGATCTACTCCGATGACTTGATACAAAAGGAGTTTGAACACATTCATAATATGCTGCTAGAAATGGTTTACCCCCATAGTTTTATCAAAAGACATATGAACAAAATGAGTAGGAAATCTGGTCAAATGATTGTTCATGAAGCTCCATTTTAAAGGGGACGCACCTAGTGAAGTTCTGTTGTACTGGCTGTCTACAGCCATTAGAAGAACCTTCTCTGCTGATAACCTCTGTTTATTATTTTCTAATCGGCCGATAATTGTTACTCAGACAAGCTACCCAATTCTACCACTTCTGTGTTCACTTATCAATTCAGTTGCTCCTGTGGAGAAAGCTGTATTGGGCCTACAACTAGGCAGCTTAACAAACGTGTTGCTAAGCGCCTACCGTCATGGCTGGGAAAGGGACAAGTGAAGTCAATACGAAGTTCATTTCTGTTACATTTAGTCGACAGTAGTAGTCATATAGAGTAGATAAGACCTAAGCGTTCAAAATCATCTATCGCATTCCAAAAAATCTTTCGAATGAATGAAATTATCAACATTATGGATGTATTACTTGACTGTGGATGTACAACGATTCAGAATACTCCTACCCCATTTTTCTTCTCATTCTCTTGGTTATTTTAATGCTATTAACATTGCTAGCTAAGGTTTTGTGTTTATGAAATGAGTTTTGAAGATCCTCTGAAATTTTGTCTAACAGTCGAGATAAGCATATGATCTCATGATGAACACTCATCCGTTGACTTTTTAGACCTAAGAATCAGAATTTTGTTGTGATGCCCCAGTTTTGTATAAAACATTGTTATCAATCCGAACATTTTAACGTGTCATTCCCACATCATTTTTACGATATGACTAATATTTCAAGTTGTTATTCATCGAAGACTGACATCAGTTGGAGGAACAAAGGAAACCTGGGAGCACTGGACAGCTGTTTCGTCCTAGTATGGGACTCCTCAGCAGTGCGCACCCACGACCCCACCAGCGGGGATCGAACCCGCGACCTTCAGGTTCCGCGACCAGCGCGTTACCATTGAGCATTGGATTCTGACCCAGTGGCTCAATGGTAACGCGCTGGTCGCGGAACCTGAAGGTCGCGGGTTCGATCCCCGCTGGTGGGGTCGTGGGTGCGCACTGCTGAGGAGTCCCATACTAGGACGAAACAGTTGTCCAGTGCTCCCAGGTTTCCTTTGTTCCTCCAACTGATGTCAGTCTTCGATGAATAACAACTTGAAATATTTCCAAATCTCCACAACCCCCTCAAAATTTATATGACTAATAGTCTATTTTCTGCCCCTATTGTGTAATGTAAATCGCTAATTGGTTAATCTTTACTCTTACTATGCAAATGCCTCAAATTGAGGACAGGGTCATTTTTCATGTGTATGCTTATTCACGTGTTTTGGATTGATTCATTGTTATTATATTCTCGGAGTAATACACTCTCCCATCTGCCAGCTTCGGTCTTCTCTCTATTCGTCCGGGGGTTGCAGTCAGTGACTCTTGCGTACCAAGTTAGCTGTCAGCTAAACGCGCGTATTGTATTCGTTCTGGAACATATACATTAGCCTCCGAAACCATAACAAATTTCACTTGATACAATTGAATAACTTGTGACTATTAAAGTAATCCTTTTTGTGCTCAACATTCCACTAAACGAATCAATCATTCCCTTCAAATTTTTTAAGCGCATATCTACTTTTAGGTAAATGTCTGAAGAGGTAGTCAATACAGTCTGGTTGGGTCTTATATAGAATGGGAACATGGTGTTTTTGATGAGAGGATTGCTAGACAGTTAATTCTAAGTGTAAAACGGCTTTAATGATGGATAGTAGCTAGCAGCGGAATCCCGGACGCGCATGTCGTCCTGTTTGGGACTCGCTGACTGGATATACTTGCCATCCAGTGATGTTGTTGCCAATGGGACTCGAACTCGCGCTATCCACTAGGCCAATGAGCCACGATAGCCACTTCTTGCGCGATGGGCATGCTTTTAATGTTGTTGCTTGTATTATGCTGTCATCGATTAGACTGAATTGATCGCTCTCTATTGGCATATGTGCTCCTGCGCGGATGCCAACAGAGACCGACATCTCTGCCGATCATACTTTCGGTATTAGATGGTTAAATATCCATGATGACCGATTGTAAATTCATTAAGGTATACTAAAGAGAATCAGTTAAAGAGTCAGTATGTTTCTTGTATAGACGAAGCGCATGGATGAATATTGGTGCGCGTGGTGCACTCAGTCAGTCAATATCAATGTATGACTTAGCATTACTGTACAACAGTCCAAGTTGCCATACCTCTTATCGGATGATGGGAAATAAATTCCAAAATTCGGTACTACAAATAGGATGAAGATAGAATATGAGAAGGTGGGGTTACCTTATGGAGATTGGTTTCCAGTCATCTCACCTAGAATCTCCAACTGTCGGTTTCAGTTGTCAAGTTGACCCTAACATTTCAAACTTAATAGTCAATGGTGCAGTTAATCACACATTTTCAGGCATCGGGAAACTTTCGTCCTATCGGTGCAATTGCGCTTACTTCCTTGAAGTTGTTGTAACTAAATGAATGTGTTCATGGTTTACAGGTTGAAGTTCCATCATCATCATTTGTGCCTTGGGTTCCTAATGGAACATAGGGCTTCAGTAGCACGTCTTCAGTGCACTCAGTTCTCTGAAATCTTTTGAACCTGGCTCCACGACAGCCCATAAGCTCTCATTTCTTCCTCACACGATCTCCTCTATGTCACCCTCACCTAGGACGCCCAATTCGTCGTTTCCCATCTGGGTTTCACTCGAGTGCCTGACCTAGCGCGTGATGTCCCCAGTCGGCCTTCTCAGTGCATGACCAATCGAATCCATCTCCACTTTCTTTCAGTGCATATTTGTTGAGCGATAGGTTCTTGGTTGGTTCGTTGCTGGCCAGAGTCCCTTATTGCTCATTCCTTCTGGCCATCTGATCTTCAGTAACGAGCCAGCGTAGGGGGCAGTTATTGATGAATGTCTTTAGTTTGTTGGAAATGCCTTTCGTAACGCGCCAAGTCTCTCAACCATCACATAGAAGCACTGACTTGACTGACGTTGGTGTTGAAAATCCGAATCTTGTTCCACATGCTGAGTGCAGTGCAGTAGATCTCCACACTGGTTTCAGGTTAATGAACGCCTGTCTTGCATGCTGTTCCGATCCTGACTGGCTTTGACGTCGTCTTCTGTGCCTGTGTCGCCTGTAGTTGAAACAGTGTTGCCTAGATATGTGAAAGAGGCTGCTTCCTTTAAGTTTCTCCTGTTGATGGTGATCGGTGCTTGTTGTTGTTGGTTGGTTATCTTCATCACCTCTGTCTTCTCTACGGGTTGAAGTTCCAGTCGACCTTATTAGGTAATGCAATGATTCAAGTCCACTTGTCGACAACAAAGTTGTGTACGGTCTCCAAGTTATTATTTTCATATTAAATATACTTTGTATGCTGTACACGAGTTGTTCATTGCGTGCGCTTTATGGATAATGAATTCAATTTGTTTATAATTACTTTTTTTCTTCAGATATCTTAAAACATCAGCTGTCGTAAAAACTGCAAAGGATAAAACATCAGCTGTATTATTCGAAAAATGGAATCTATTACGGTATGTTCATCATCATCATCATCATCATCATCATCATCATCATCATCATTGAGTAGAAAATATTAATTATTTGGAATCTGGCTAATTACACAAGTTGGCTGTTTATGTTACATTGGGACTAGATCTTGACTAATATGAATGAATTATATTTGAAGTAATGATTATTGACTAGTTTTGGAGTTGATTGTCTTGAATATTGATTGACACTTCTTGGTGATGGTACAATAATGACGGTCTCTTTGTGTTAAAAGAAGAATCATTATTCATTCGCTGTTTTTGAGATTTTCACAATGGATCACCAAACGTTCAACCCAAGGTGTCTCTTATAAGACCTTTGTCATTGAAAACCATTCAAACATAATTGGTGCTTGATTTTATCATATTATTATTTGTCCCTTGGGTTCCTAATAGAACATAGGTCTTCAGTAGCACGTCTCCATTGCGCTCTGTTCTCTGAAATCTTTTGAACCTGGTTCCACGACAGCCCAGAAGCTTTCATTTCCTCCTCTCATGATCTCCTCCATGTCACCCTCACCTAGGACGCCCAACTGGTCGTTTCCTATTTCGGTTCCACTCGACGGCCTGGCCTAGCTCGCGATGTCCCCGAATGGTCTTCTCAGTGCATAACTAATCCATCTTCACTTCCTTCCAGTGCATATTTATTGAGCGATAGGTTCTTGCTTCGTTGGTTCGTTGCCAGCCAGAGTTCCTTGTTGTTTATTCTTATTATTCTGACCATCTGACCTTCAGTAACGAGCCAGCGTAGGGGGCAGTTATTGATGAATGTCTTTAGTTTGTTGGAAATGCCTTTCGTAACGCGCCAAGTCTCTCAACCATCACATAGAAGCACTGACTTGACTGACGTTGGTGTTGAAAATCCGAATCTTGTTCCACATGCTGAGTGCAGTGCAGTAGATCTCCACACTGGTTTCAGGTTAATGAACGCCTGTCTTGCATGCTGTTCCGATCCTGACTGGCTTTGACGTCGTCTTCTGTGCCTGTGTCACCTGTAGTTGAAACAGTGCTGTCTAGATATGTGAAAGAGACTACTTCCTTTAAGTTTCTCCTGTTGATGGTGACTGGAGTTTGTTGTTGTTGGTAGTGGCGTTGGTTGGTTATCTTCATCACCTCTGTCTTCCCTACATTCACTTGAAGTCGCATCTTCACTGCCCTGCAGTGCCCTGCCTCTATGTCAACTTGTTGGATTTTGCCTGTACATCTCCAAGTTTGTACGACAAGACGTTAGACGTAAATCATCAATGGCCATAACCAAACCTTCTAGGATCTTTTTCCCGGTTCAGCGTATCCCCTTCTTCTCGCTCCTTATAGCTGTCTGCTGCATGATCCAGCCCACCACAATCAGGAAGATCATCGGTGATAGTAGGCAACCTTGTCCTATCCCTGTCTTGACTTCACTTCAAAGGCATCACTGAGCTTCCATTGTGAATTATTTGGCATATGGCATCTTCATATAGCTGCAGTTGAATGAGGTTGATAAAGGTTAGTGGCACTTAGGCCGTAGTGTTGAAGTAGTTGCCAAATTACTAGTCGGTCGACGTTGTCGAAGGCCTTTTCAAAGTCGATGAGGTTGAGGTAGAGAGTTGAGTTGACTGGTATTCTATGCTCTGTTCTATGATGATGCGTAGCGTGGAGTTGCAATTTGGTCTGCATATGATTTATACTTCCTGAATCCAGTCAGCCTGTTCCGGTCATAATTTTGAATCCAGAGCACCTTTGAGTCTCTCCAGTATGATGCGGCTTAATATTTTGCTTGGGGTGGACAATAGTGGAGCATGATTTTCCGCCAGTTCTTGCAAAGCCTTAAGTTGCCCTCGTTTGGGAGTTTGACAAGGTAGCTCTTCTTCGAATCAATGGGCAGGTACCTTTTCTTCCTTCCTTCCAGACCTTCTACAATAGTAGTGTGAGCATGTTCGCTGTTGTCCATACGTCAGTTCTCATTGCTTCTGGCGGGATTTCATCTAGTCCTGCTGCTTTCCCGGCTTTCAGTAGCTTTATGGAGTTCAGGACTTTGACTTTGGTCGGAGGGCTTGTGTTCACTGGTAATTCTGTGGCTGTGGGTGATATTTCTGGACGAGTTGCAGTTGGTAGTGGTGGTCGATTCAAGAGCTTTTTGAAGTGGTGCCAGCCCATCGTTTTCTTTGTTTCTTTTCTCTGGTAATTAGATTTCATTCATCATCTTTTATTGGTTTCATCTATGTTGATCTCTTCCCAGATTGTAGTAGATTCTAATTTTAATGAACAGATTAAAATGGAATAACTTTATTTGTTGTTTGGACAAGTTGGCATCTGTGCAGTTTGGTATTCTTTTTAAGAACACAGGAACAAAGGATAGAAAAGGGAAATTAAATACTTGAATAAAGCAAAGTAAGTTTACTCTGACAGTCACTTGTTCGTGATCAGTGATGACTCTAAGATAAAGCATATTAGTTGACTAGATGGTCGCTAAAATCATCCCAACTATGAACTTGTAGGCTTATTTTGTTGGAGGCTTTAAAATTCTCTTCAAGCGTTCACCCGATCATGTTTACTCTTGGATAGACATGAGAAGCTCAGTTACAAAGTTTCCTGATACTCAGCCTTTAAGTAAAATGATCACATTTACTGATATAGACAATGGTTACACTATAACATCTGTGTTCACCCTAATACTGCTTAGGGTTAGGCGTAGTGTTCTGTAGAAGCATGATTTATGGATGCCTGCAGCCTCCAGCGGAGAATTGAGAAATGCTGGTGGAAAAATGAACTAAAAAGATTTTAGGACGGTAGATTCACCGATAAGCTGAATCACTCAGTAACAGGCTATCAGTATAAGTGATAGGATCGTCAAACGTAGTGCATTTTCACAGGCTTTCATCAAATTCCCGGTCATCTGATATTGATATGATCACTCTGCTGATACAGAATAACTAACTGAACCAACTTAGATATCATTTATATTATGAAATTCAGGGATAGTCCTGTAAAAATAGCCTGTGTAGTTACCGCTTTTACCTTCTAAAAGGATATGCTAACTACGGAGAAATCGGCATGATGAACATAACACTCAAAATCTTGGGACTATAGTCACCTAACGGTTAGTTTAGATCTCATGGAGTGATCAGATTTTCATTCTCTGCTGTATATCCTAGGGGAAGTTTATGTTTGCTGTTGTTTCGGTGTGACTAACTTCAGTAACTGACGAGCAGCGTTTGTCTGTAGAGATCGAGTTGTCCTGTGGTTGGGAGACGAGATGTGTCAACTATATTATTAGAACTATGCATAAAAGTGCTGAGGTTGCCGTTCTCATTCCAGATGTACATACGCCTATTTTAAAATTTTATCGATAGTATGGTTCATCTTTTTGACTGTCTGAGATAGCCATGGTTCGGCACACTTGTATTGATACTGGGTGGTGGTTGAAGGTGAAATAAAAATTTGGTCTGCGGCAGGATTCGAACCAGCGACTACCGGGTTTCCTGCTCGGTGCTCTACCAGCTGAGCTACGAGGGCTAACGGATGACCAGATTTGTATTTCACTTCAATCACAAGCGGATTTTACCCGACTAACATGTGAATTCGTAACATGTTACTACTGGCTGCCCAGCCAGGTGGTCGCCGGTTCGAATCCTGCCGTGGTCGAAATTTCCATTTCATACCAGCTACTACCTACTCTTGTAAATCTAATCCTGGGTTATATGCAGTTAATGAAGCAAGCAAGTGTTTAGGTCCAACTCAGAGAAACAGTGATGATTACTATGAACTATGTACGTTTGTTTGACTGTGGGATTAGGGGGTTTCAAACTTGACATAATGTATTGAAATCGGTTCGGGTACCACAATGTTTTCGTTTCGTCTCAGATAAATTTAATCATTCCCATTGTAACATCAAGAACAAGATATTCAGCGAAGAGACTCTTTTCAACTAATTTATTTCCAATCTTTACATTCGTATACATATATGATATTTGGAAAAATCTATCCGGCGAGGAAAACTAAACACAATATGATGATGACAATGACAATAATAATAAAGTGCAAAATACACTCATTTGATCATAGGTAAAGACAAGACGTGGTTTCTAGCGAAGAAAAAATTTTCTGATCGATGAAGTCATAGGTGGTTGCGCTATATCGTGAGCTAACAGAAGTTGGAAATATAGACCATTGGATTCTGACCCAGTGGCTCATTGGTAACGTGCTGGCCATGGAACCTGAAGGTCGCGGGTTCGACCCCTGGCGGAGTCATGGGTGCGCACTGCTGAGGAGTCCTACACTAGGACGGAACAGCTGTCCAGTGCTCCCAGGCTTCCTTTGTTCCTCCAACTGATGTCAGTCTACGAAGTCGTAGGTATTCGTGATTACGATAACAGTTGAAGTATGAATGATAACGGTAGATTACGTAATGTATGGAATGGTTCATAGAAAGTATGTTACTCAGAAGGTGGTGAAAAATTGATGAAAGTGGTAAATCAACTAAGTGTTATGTAATAGGATTAGACAAGTTGGTCAAGATGAAATCAATTTCTTCTAAAAAGACAATTAAATGAAATAACACGGGAAACTAACCAAAATGAAGGCAATTACAGTAACAACAACAGTGTTAAATGAAGGATACAAAGGTTAAATTAACAAAAAGGGAGAGGAAGCTAATGGAGATGGGAAAATACTTTGGCCATGATAAAAACAGTGACTGTACATACTTCTATTGTACACACAGATCAGGATTAAGTTCATGAATCGTTAAAACCTTCGCTGTTTTAAGAAGTTGAAAATGAAGAAGACGTGGGAAGTTTAGACGAATTTGATAAATAATTTTAAATTCATTATCTGGGTTTGTTAAGTGATTGAAATTAATCAAGTGTTCTAGAATCGAACTTCTAACAGACTTTCTTTCACCTATATTAAACTGAGCTAGAACATGTTCTCGTATACGTGTAGAAAGCATTCTCTGACTATGGTCGACGTACCTTGCTCCACAAGGTGAACTAGTAGATGCACATAGTGGTGGCTAAACAAGGAAGCTTATGTTTAACACAAATGGAGGATAGTTTACGGCTAGTAAAAGTCAGTTGAAATCTTGTTATGAAGAAAGTTCTATTGATTGATTTACATCGACGATTCTTCAGTACATCTGATGCTAGGTCACCTTTAAATTCTAGCCTCATGAACAATCTTTTCTTTGAAACCGAGTGAATGACCGGTTCTTAGATAAATAACAACTTTTGATTCTGTTTCCTTTTTTTACTATTCATAAAACTTTGTTTGTGCTGTGAATTGAACTAGATTATCACATGTTGAACATCAAAGAACTATGAATGTATCTGCTTATACTTTTTGTAAAGTAAGCTGGAGATTCTCGTTATGCTCATCTGTGATAACTGATAGGCATGAAAGGAAGACAATCAGTCCAAGCTTTCTAGTGTTATTATTATTATTTGTCCCTTGGGTTCCTAGGGGAACTAAGGGCTTCAGTAGCATGTCACCATTTCACTCTCTTCTCTCCAGTCCTTTTAACCTCGCCCCACCACTGCCCATAACCTATCATTTCTCCCTCACACCATCTCCTCCATCTCACCCTCACCTCGAAAGCCCAACTCATAGTTTCCCATTTCAGTCCTACTCAAAGGCCTAGCCTGGCGCGTGTTGTCCCCAAACGGTCTTCGTAGTATGCGCCCTATCCAGTCCAATCCAATCCATCTCCACTTTATTCTCCTGCCAGCCAGCCAGCCGAAGTTACTCCTTGCTTATTCTTTCTCACCTTCTCATCTGGCCTGATCTTCAGTATCGAGTGAGCGTGGGAGGCAGTTGTTCATGCATGTCTACAGGTTGTTGGAAATGCTTTTCGTAACGCGCCATCAAGTCTCTCAACCATCACATAGAAGCATTGACTTGAATGACAGTAGTGTTTAAAATCCGGATCTTGTTCACACTTTATGCTGAGTGCAGTTCAGTAGATCTCCACACTGGTTTCAGATTAATGAAGACCTATTTTGCTGTTTTTCCGATCACGGTGTCGACATCTTCATCTATGCCTATGCCACCGCTATACTTGAGACGATGCTGCCTAGGTAGGTGAAAAGCACTACTTCCTTTAGGTTCCTCCTGTTGATGGTGATTGGTGCTCGTTGTTGTTTTTGTTGTTGGTTGGGTATCTTCATTACCTCTGTCTTCTCTACATTCACCTGAAGGAAGTGCAATGCAGTCTGCACTGCCCTGCCTGTTCTGCCAACCTGTTAGTTTTCACCTGTACATCTTCGAGTTTGTGCGACCTCAGACATTAGACATAGATCATCATTGTTGGCGAAATCGAAATCTTTTGGGGTCTTTTCATTAGTCAAATGGCGTATGCCGATCTTCTCGCTCCTCATAGTTGTCTGCTGCATGATCCAGTCCAGTTTGGTCCACCAGGATGAGGAAGATGATCGGTGATAGTAGGTGGCAACCTTGTCTTACCTGTGAACCTGTCTTCACTTCGAAGGCATCACTGGGCTTTTCATTGTGAATCATGCAGCTGTTACTTGCTGGACATCTAATAAAATATAGGGAATAGTGTAACAAATTATGGGAAAAGCAGTTTGGTTTCGTTGGTTTCCAATTAATATCTTAGATAGATGAAAGCAGTCAGCAGGATACCCCGGACCTAAATTTCGTGCTTCTTGGCATTCGTCATCATGGCATGTCCGCAACCCAAATGGAACTTATGTCCCCCCTGAGATTCAAATCTGCGTCACCCAGTGTTTTAGTCAGTGACATTATCACTGAGCTATTCTGACCATAGCTATCCTCCTGTAGGACTGGATTAAATATATTGATTAGTCACTGGAGGGTAGCCAACTTCATGTTTTCTGGTCTGGTGGCCATGTTACTAGGTGATTGATAGAATCCGGTCAGGACTAGACAACATGAAGTTGGTTACCCTCCAGCGACTAATCAATGTATACTTCATCTTGCTTTAAAATGCCGGAATAAATATATACAGATAGACTCAAGGGGCGTAGAAATTTGCACAAAATTGGATTACTGCTAGTTTTCATTTGGTTGTGTAACAGCGTAAAATACAAAAAGTAGTTCAGATTAGTCGAGGAGTAAAACTTGGGCACTGTGGTCGAGTGTAATTCCATTTTAGTTTGTTTATTCGAAATGTCACATAGTGAAGGAACAGTATTATTTTAGAGGATAACGTTTTATACGCAATCTATTGTCCATATTCATATCAGGTGACAAACTCGACAGATGGAGTTTATATGTTCCTAATTTTCTCTCCGTTCTGATGACAAGGGTAGTAGAATTTCTCATATACCTGGGATAGATGCAGAATCATTTCTATTGCTGTATGTATTTCGTGTTGATTTGATAAGCAGAGATGCGGTTATCAATCTCTCCCTTTTTTCACCCAACTAAGTTCGCTTTCGGTACTGTCGCTCTATCCCATCCTACTGTATGATTGTGTGTAATTGCGTATGAAGCTATAGCCGAGCGCCTTAGGAGGATTACAAAGAATTCTCAATAAGGCTGGCTAGGATCTAAGTGACACTTAAACCAACAAACTCACTTACAAACAAGCTTTGTAAGCTGAGAAATCCTATTGATGAGATCCAGCAAAATAATTTGGTTTATCAAATCCCTTGCAGTGATTACTAGGTCGAATACATAGGTCAAAGTAGTCGACCAGGGTCAGTTAGAATACCAGAGCATAAAAACTTAGCTGAATGAAGATTAGTAGATCCTCAAAAGCTTGGCTATAGCTCTGCACATAATCAAGCAATACGGTGGGATATAGTGACGGTATTAAAAACTAATTCAGCTGGGGAGGGGCCGGAGAGCGACTGATAACCGAATCTTTGTTGATCGAATCAACACCAAATACATAGAGTAACAGAAATGATTCTGTACCTCTCCCAGATATATAGAAAATTCTACTATCCTTGTCATAATAAAGAAGGCGAAGGAATTAGAAGTATATAAACTCTGTTTCAAAGTTGTAGAGTTGTTTACCTGATATGAATATGGACAACAAATTGTGTCTGAGAAGTACGTTGTCCAGTAAATGATACTGTTCCTTCACTATGTGACGTTTCTAATAAACCAACTGAAATTGAATTAGGATCAGATTAGGTGTTTTGTAAAAGTATACACTTCGTGATAAGATGCCTGAGAAGTGTCCACTAATCATATCAAGTCAATCTATGCACCGGATAGCCATTTCCTTCGTTTTAGACCAGGCTCATATCTATTCATGTCATAGGAGGGAATTACTCAAACCACCCAGAGGACTGTTGATTGGCGTGAATAATTTACAGTTACTCATATCTGCCAATCGTATATTATGTTCAACATAGGTTATCATCCCGTATTCAAGTGTTTCTTCATTTGTTACACTCAACTTGTTCCCATGACCTCTTAACTGGCTTCGTAAGTTAAGATATCCTATTGATACAATTAAGCAAAATAATCTCGTTTACCAGATCCTTTGCAATGATTGCGAGGTTAAATACATAGATCAGTCAAAGTAATCGACCAGGGTCGATTAAACTAACAGAGCACAAAAACCAGCTAAATCGATACAAGTAGGTCGTAATAAAACAAGAAACTTAGAAAAAGAAAGCTCAGCTATAACTCTGCACGCAATTATAAACTAGGGTGGGGGTAGAGCGACAGTTTTGAAAACCAAACTTAAATGGTTAGAGGGAGAGATTGATAACCGAGTCGCCCTTTATCAAATCAACACCGAATACATGCAGTAATAGAAATAGTTTTTGCATGTGTCACAGAGAGAAGTAGAGAAAATTGCGGAGTGGAGTCGGTTTACCTGATAAGAATATGGACAATATAAATGTGTATCCGAAAAGTACGTTATCCAGTAAATGGATACTATTCCTTCACTGTGTCATGATGTGACATTTCTAATAAACAGACTAAAATAGTCAAGATTAGAAGGATACTCAGATAATCAGAAAGCGTTTGACAGGAAGGCGAATCAATAAATAAACATTAACACAAATTTTAGAACTTTTTTGAAATGAAAATGGTTTCGAGTGATACAACCAAAAATCTTCATTAGTTAGTCCTTCTCGACTAGAGAACTTTGACACTAGGCTTGAATTGAATTAAGCGTAGTGATACTAAAAGCTCAGTAGATCTACACGTCTGTTATTCCTTAGTTGGTCATGGGTATGAATTGGCTAAATGGGTATTGAAAGGTTGACCGTTTCTTAGATCATCCAATCTGTAATACGGCATATCCGTCGTAGGGTGGTGTCCTCAGTGAGCATCTGCTCTCATTTCCTCATTCGTTTTCTCTGTGATAGTTCTGTCTCCGAAGCAGATTACCAGTACGTAAGATTGGCTGTACTGATGATCCCTTCTGTATATTGTCTTGATAACATGTATTCGTGTATTCATTCCCAAGTTACGTTAAGATATAGGATACAAGTATGGTTTGATAATTCACACTGATTGGTCACCAGGGTGCTATGAATATCATATTGCCTAGTCATGAGTACTGACCGAATTTTATCGATCATTTTGCAATGTGAACTAGCAAGATAGGATAATTAGCATTGAGGAGGACTTTGATTGATGTTCTTTAATTGAAGCCTGTCAACAAAAAGCACAGCTTCACCCCAGTCTCGTACTTGTTGGAACTCATCAGTAAGTGGTGCGTGTCTGCAACGTCGAGGGAACTGATATCCTGCCTGTGATTCGAACCCAGTTTTGGAGTTAGCGACGTTTAATTTTTATTTGTTTAAGAATTTAGACCAATGTAAAACATATTACATGTTAACATTTTGTATTCCCTATTTATCCTTATATTAAATATTTTAGCCAGTCGAATGCTTACAAATCTTTGGAGAGTAAAGTTGGTTCGGCATGTTCCAATGTATATGTGAGTAATATTTGTTGACATTGAAGGCGATTAATATTACTGCATTGTTATTAATTTACTTCTTGTTCGTTTTTTTGTAACTTTTGAGTAAATGTTGCTATTTATAAATTGATTAATCGTTGGATGAGTGGGTAATCATCTTGGAAGTTAGCCGTCGATTGAAATTAAGTGCATAAGATGTCCATCTTATTTGATGTTATGTATGTGTGTGTATCTGTGTTTATAGTCATCAAGCAAGACGCTTCGTAGGATTCTATCACTTAGTCCAGTCAGTGAATAGCTTACTTGATTAGTAGATTTTACTGAAAACTTCAAAACGAACAACTATATTTGTTATCGCTCAGTGACTGACTTATTCTTCTGCTTAATCCGCCGGTACGGTGAATTATTTGCGGTATGAGTAAACTTACCAAGAAGTATTTGATTTCCTCATTGAACGATCTAGACTAGCATCTTGGAAGGACCATAAACTCCTTCCTAAGTGAATACCAAACAATAAGCACAAACACTTAGATATGAAGCAATGCTTCCTACCAACTGATTCTCAACACGCAATACAAAGTGATATGTTGACTTTAGTGTACCAGTGGGTTGTATCAACTTTATCCAACTGCAAAATACCGTTCGAAAGAATCAAGTGTCCTTTAAGGAGGAAAATAAGAATAACATAGTTTGGGGGACTTGAAAGGTTGTGTACACTGAACAATGAAGATGAAAACAACCTATTCGACGTAGTATGCAGGGATTTTATGAACACATCTCTTATCGTTTTGCCTATTAGAAACCCTGAATAGCACTGCTTAGGCAGTGTGGATTGGAAACACACTTGAGTAGGGGGTGATGGATATAAACATTTGTGATCATTTCTGAGCCGTATAATCTAAAGTTACAGATTTTCGGCTTTATTCACTTGACTGGAACTGATCATATTGAAGAAACAGAAGACAACTCGACGAGAGAATGTTTATTACGAACAATTGGAATGGTAGTGGTTACATATAGTACTCCTTGCACTAACGCAGCCATTTGCAAGTATCTTCGTTTCCTCTCCGTTCCTGTCTTGATTTGTTCTTGACCGGCTCTTCATACACTCTTATCAGCAGCATCCCGTGTAATACGCCTGTGTTGTCCCCTGCGTTGCTCTTGGCAGAAACCTTACCCATTGCCGGTAATTCCCTATGATTCCTGCCACCCTCTCGATATATACTACTTATATCTGTTGTTATCAGCAACTCCCACTACAATATTTCTGTAGATCCCGCAAGTTAAGAATATGATACTTCATTGATTTCCATTACGTCTTTGTTTGCCCTAGCTCAACACCGGTTTATTTGTTGATTGGGTATACGTAACACATTATCTCATCACCTCAGTTATTAAAGGTCTGCGTCATCAATCTCTGGTGAACTGTTTATAATTTTTAAGCCAGAGTATTTCAACCCACGCTCAATACTGAAGATCAGATGGCCAGAAATAATAAGCAACAAGGAACTCTGGCCAGCAACAAACTAACCAAGGACCTATCGCTCAACAAATATGCACTAGAAGGAAGTGGAGATGGGTGGGTCATGCACTGAGAAGACCATTCGTGGACATCACTCGCCAGGCCACGCCCTTGAGTGGAAGCCAGATAGGAAACGACGAGTCGGGCGTCCTAGGTGAGGTTGAGATGGAGGAGATAGTGTGAGGAATGAATGAAAGCTTGCGGGTAGTCGTGGAGCCAGGTTGAAAAGAGTGAAGAGAACGGAGTGTAATGGAGATGTGCTACTGAAGCCTCTATGTTCCACTAAGAACCCAAGAGGAAAAAAAGCAATAATAGTCCCCACCCAAATGACATCATTACATGTACAGTAGATTACCTACTAATGAATTCATAACTTTCTATAATGATATCTCTTATTGTAGCTTACTATCCCATTCTCTAATACGGGCATCGGTACTGGTTCTTTCTTATTAGTAAGTTTTTGTTAGCATGGTAGTATCTGAACAAAGTTTTTTGTGTGTTCACTTCACATTGGAATCTATCCATTTTGTTGACTGTCAATGTTGAAACTCCCACTCTTACTTCAATCTGTATAAGTGTTCTTTGTTTATTCGTGTTGTATTGTTAAGTGTTTTATTCAGTGGAGTGTGAAATCGACTGAATCGTTAGATAATTATCAAATAATGAAAACTTTTATCATTGAAATATGATGAAAAACTGATCAGCATCAACTTAGAACCTGTTATTACTGTTCAGTGGTCCAAGATAACAGATCTGAAATCAGCACATCAAGCCAAGGTAGGAGGTGATATCATATTATTATTTTTCCCTTGGGTTCCTTGTGGAACATAGGGCTTCAGTAGCACGCCAGCATTGCACTCGCTTCTCTGCAGTTTGCTCAGCCTGACACCACAACTGCCCACAACCTCTCATTTCTTCCTCGCATGATCTCCTCTATGTCACCCTCTCCTCAAATGCCCAACTCGTCGTTTCCCTTTTGGATTCCACTTGAGAGCACGGCCCGATGCGTGATGTCCTCCAGTGTATGCCAATCCATCTCCACTTTCTGCATATTTGTTGGGTGATAGGTTCTTGGTTGGTTCGTTGCTGGCCACAGTTCGTTGTTGCTTATTCTTTCTGGCCTTCTGATCTGGCCTGATCTTCAGTATCGAGTGAGCGTAGGGAGCTGTTGATGTATGTCTGCAGTTTGTTGGAAATACGTTTCGTGTCACGTCAAGTCTCTCAACCATCATAGAAGCACTGACTTGACTGACATTAGTGTTTAAAATCCGGATCTTGTTGTTTATGCTGAGTGCAGTAGATCTGCAGTAGATCTTCATGTCGCCCATTAGAATTTTGATATCGCCAACTGGGTGGGGTCTTGTCCAGTGTTGATTGAAGTTGTCTGTAGAATTCATCCTTTTTCTCTTGCTCTGCATTATTTGTAAGTGCATAGTGTAGCATTGTATGATTGTGACCTTCCTTCCTTTTGAGTTGAACCTTGCTGTCATGATCCTGATGCTGGAGGAGATTGGTTCCCACTGCATGACGGCCTTCGATGCTGTTGAAGGGGACATCATGATAGCCACTCCATAACTCAGTGTGCTCCTGGTTGTCGACTGGGTGACCGGAGTAGACTATTGATTCTCCAGTTGACAGTTTGGAGACTCCACTCCCATTCCATCTGCTTTCGCAAATCCCAAGCACTTCGATGTGATACCTTCTCATCTCTTTTGCAATCTGGGCTGCCCTACCAGCTGGGTTCAAACATAGTGTGGACATTCCATGTCCCCACGTTTACTTTCGCTTTCATCGAGAGAAGACACATCGGCCAATTGGCTTCCCGAAGGCTTTCACCAACTGGCGTGATTTCGCCTCTCCGATTCCAGCGAGGAATAATTTTGTTTTCATTTTTTATATTTTGTTTGTGCTTCGAAGTTTGTTTAGCGGTTAGATTTGTTTTCCGGTGTAGGGTTGCTAGCCCTATGCCCAACCTTCCCTGTTTACCCGGGCTTAGGACCGGCTAGTAACTAGTGAACTAGTTAACTAGGCGAGGTTAGATCTCGACACTGATTTCATATTGATGAAAATCTCTCTTGATTTTTTGATCTTGGTTTTGACGTCCTCATCTGTGCCTATGCCGCCGCCTGTAGTTGAAACAATGCTGCCTAGGTGGGTGGGTAGGTGAAAGAGACTACTCCCTTTAGGTTTCTTCCGTTCAATGTGATTGGAACTTGTTGTTCATGCTGTTGTTCGTTGGGTATCTTCATCGTCTCCGTCTTCTCTACGTTCACTTGAAGTCCCGTCTTCGGTGCCTCGCCTCTTCTGTCAACCTGTTAGTTTCCGCCCGTAGACCTTCAAGTTTGTGCGACATTAAATATAAATCACTTGCGAAATCCAAATTTTCTAGGCTCTTTTCATCGGTCCAGCCCATCTCGCTCCTCATAGTTGTCTGCTGCATGATCCAGCCCACCACAATCAGGAAGATCATCGGTGATAGTAGGCAACCTTGTCCTACCTCTGTCTTCACTTCACTTCAAAGGCATCACTGAGCTTCCATTGTGAATTACTTGGCATGTGGCATCTTCATATAGCCGCAGTGGAATGAGGTTGATAAAGGTTTGTGGCACTTAGGCCGTAGTGTTGAAGCAGTTGCCAGATTACTTGTCGGTCGACGTTGTCGAAGGCCTTTTCAAAGTCGATGAAGTTGAGGTGGAGAGTTGAGTTGACTGGTATTCTATGCTCTGTTCTATGATGATGCGTAGCGTGGAGTTGGAATGTGGTCGGCACATTATTTGTACTTCCTGAATCCAGTCAGCCTGTTCTGGTCATAATTTTGAATCCAGAGCACCTTTGAGTCTCTCCAGTATGATGTGGCCTAATATTTTCCTTGGGATGGATAGGAGTGGAGCATGATTCCTCGCCAGTTCTTGCAGAGTTAGGTCGCCCTTGTTTGGAATTTTGACAAGGTAGCCCTCCTAGATGATACCAAGATGAACGATAAAGAAAAGAAGATGAACATGGCTAAAAGTGATAGAATGTCGTGAAAAGAGGAAAAGAAGGAATGAGACAGCAATGAAATTCGATGAAACAATTAAGATGGAGTAAATGTGTGAATGTATATGCACCACCGCTGGGATTGATTTATCTAGAGTCTAGAACCACTGATTTTTTGATAAGAAGATTCACTTCACGAGCTGACACCACTAGACAATTGATTGCTGAATCTAACGCTACACTCCATACACTATCTGCCTCAATCTTGGAATCAAACTGAGAACCAGAAGTCCCTGCTGCGAGAATATTAAGTTGTAGTTTTAATGGTGAAAAGAAAATACCCGCTTTCAGTCAATTCTTCTAGTTAGATTTGAAAAGTTGTGTTTTTTCACAAAACGTAAATGTGACATAAGCAGCTATTAAGTTATACAAGTGAACATCAAATTAGACTAAATTAATCATTTAGTCAACAACATCCGGATTTTCAACACTAATGTCAGGTCAGTGCTTCTATGTGATGGTTGACAGACTTGGCGCGTTACGAAAGGCATTTCCAACAAACTACAGACATTCATCAACAACTGCCCCCTACGCTGGCTCGTTACTGAAGATCAGATGGCCAGAATAATAAGAATAAGCAACAAGGAACTCTGGCCTGGTAACGAACCAACCAAGGACCTATCGCTCAACAAATATGCACTGGAAGGAAGTGGAGATGGATTTGATTGGACATACACTGAGAAGACCGACTGGGGACATCACGCGCCAGGCCAGGCCGTCGAGTGGAAGCCAGATGGGAAACGACGAGTTGGGCGTCCTAGGTGAGGTTGAGATGGAGGAGATAGTGTGAGGAATGAATGAAAGCTTGTTGGCAGTCGTGGAGCCAGGTTGAAAAGAGTGAAGAGAACGGAGTGTAATGGAGATTTGCTACTGAAGCCTCTATGTCCCACTAGTAACCCAAGGGACAAATAATAATAATCATTCAGTCAATAGAGTATTATGGTGATGATTTTCCAACTTTTTCCAATGGATAATTGTTGTTTATTTGCATGTTGGTCTTATGATTCCATGAAATGGATTTCATGATCAAATATTTTTGATAAATCATTTTAATACCTATGGTCTATCTTCCGTATCTTTTAATATCTGCTTCTGCTCCCATGATATATCGCTTTTTCTCTAACAACTTGTTTTGTTTTCTTGCATGGCGTTGGTGTTGTATATCAACTTGAAGTGTATTATGATTTCAAACTAGTGTAGCCGCTAAAAATTCATGGTTATTAACTGCTAGCTACCAATGTGTATCAGCTTCCTAGTTGATTCCTGACTCAATTAATTTATAAAGATATGGCGAGAACGTGTGGGAACATGCATTTAGGCTGAAGATCAAGGTCGATAAATAAATAAGAATACATATAAGTACATATACATAGTTTGATGTTCAAAATAATAATATTGATTGGCTTATCGATCGTCTGTCAGTCTAACTATCGATGTGATTAACATAAGGTACATTTCGATTGGTGCATTTCTGGACTGGTCATTTGCTCTCTCTCTCTCTCTCTCTTCACCCCTTGTTCCAGATTATAGGAAAGAAGAGGTATCTACAGTGTGGAGTTAGATTATCTAGGGCAGAATGCTAACGAATTTGTGCATCGGAAATAAAGGCTATGTTCGGAGGATACAGTTGAGAAGGAACCGATGACTTTGCGCAGCATATTGATCGAAAATGGCTATCCTGATAAATTCATGAGAAAAATATGATTACAAAAATGCCAAGGGAAAATGTTCCGGAGGCTAGCAGAAAACCGCTATACATTCGGGTACAATTTAGAGGTGACATGCTTAGCAGGATATTAACTCATAAACTACCCAGATCAGTTCAAAGAACTTTTAATGCCAGTGGCGACACGGAGACTGAAAGATGAATTACGTAGACTGGCCACTTCCTGTTGTGGTGTCTATCAGTTCAACTGCTTCTGTGGAGCCACTTACGTCGGCCGCTACTCTTAGCATTTAACTTTCCGTGCTTGTGAACAACTTTCGGCGTAGTTAAGTAAAGTTGTGACAAAGACCATTACCTGCTCCATATTAGCACACTTGTGATAGGAAGCGCTCAAAAACGGAAATCAACGCTCAAGGTCATCAGCCGTTGGAGTCGAAGTGTTTTTGTTTCAGATTTCGGCTCATGTCTATATATGGACATAATAGCCTTATTGGATGATTCAGTAGCCAATAAGACTGTGTTATTCTGTCTTGGGCCTAGGTCATTTTTTATGTGTGTGGGAATTGTATACATATGCTATAGTTTATCACATAAAAATGTCGTATTTGCGGTCACAGGTCAGCCTTTATCTTTTGATATTTTCGTGACTCAGTGAAGAATAAGGTACTGAGGGGGGAATAGTCATATTGGCATTCAGTTCTAGTGTATCACTACGTTCAGTATCGTTATTAACTACGTCTTATTCTACTC